TGTGTGTGTGTGTGTGTGCGTGTGTGGATTGTCCATCTGACTGAGCGCTATAGCAGCGTCTGTGCATGTTTAGCATGCCACAATGGTGAGCTGCACGTCTTTGACAGTCATTAGTATCAGTGTCTCCAGTCTCTCAGTGGTGCAATGAGGTTATAGCTCAAAGATCTTTAAAGCCCCCCGGGGCTTCTCTGAGGTCAACTGTGCCTCTGCTACTGAAAGAGGAGATAAGAGGAGCAGAGGAAGACAACGAAAGGTGGAAAAGGAGGAAGAGGAAAATGTAAGGGACACAATGGTGTGGTAGAAAAGAGGGACATTTAAAAAGAGAGACTAGTATCTTAGTATCGACTAGTGTGGTCTGAATAGGTTGACAATATTATTTTAAAAAGAAATCTCAGAAATGATTTGATCCAATAGTTGAAAATACAGTGTACCCCTGAGAGTCAGATCAGACATATTCAAATCAAATGAGATAAAACAGTCAGCAAGTTACAGTATGAACCAGGCATGAATACAAGACCTGATGCTACCGGGACACACGGTGCGAAAAATCAGAACAAAGGGGAACAAAGGAAAAGAAATTCTGTATTTTTACAACTGAGTACCGATCACATAATAATTCATTACCGTCTCCAGTGAGGCTGTAGTGAGGTAGATTTACTTTAGGGTCTGCGTTTGAGGCCAATTTTCCCAAAAAGAAAACTAATGATTTTGAAACAGATTACGCCTGTTAGGTTGGTTTTGTTTATCATTATGTCATTGCTCACCCTGACATCACTTTCTACTTAAACCATTTAACAAATAACGACTTGTTCGTCCCCCTAAGCCTGGAGTTACCTTCAATAAGAAATATTGACTTGATTTTTAACTCAACTCGCAGGCATTTCTGAAAGCTGTACCTTGAGCAAACATTTCTTAAACAAGAGGAAGTAGTGCATTTGTTCGGGCGCTACTTTCAGAGGTAGATTAATACACGTTTGGTTCTCATTTGCCGGTATGTTGAATCAACTAAAGATAAAGTTAATATCTAATAAAAGATACTCAGTGCTAAGGACATATTCACGATTAAGTTTTGTACAATAGTAATAACTTGGCAAACATAACATACAAAACACTTTGCACATTTTATTTAATGTTTATGTTGGTTCTATATAGATTTTCAATAATTCTTCGAGTCTACACTCACAATTGTAAATTATTCAAATAATCACAACATAAAAAAGGGTAAAACCTCCCCCTGTTCAAAAAGAGCAGCCCTCACACAAAAAGCAAAGTAAAAAAATAAATAAATCTGATAAAAAAAAAAAGAAGCTGCAATGCCCTGAAAGCTGACAGAGGTGAAACTGACAGCTTTGGCTGCACTGACACTGACAGAACAGGTTAGTGAAAGCTTCATCGTGCTCTGACAGGAGGATGTGGAGAGGAAAGGGAGGAGGGAGGGGGCGGAGAGGGGGAGACTAAAACTTAAAGGTCAACTTTATCTGCTAAGGACGGAGCAGACACAGCAACATCGCTTTGGGATTTTTTTTCACGGATCACCAAAAAGGGATGCTCTTATTTGGTGCCGGTTTGTTTGTGCGTGCGTGCGTGCGTGCGTGCGTGCGTGCGTGCGTGCGTGCGTGCGTGCGTGCGTGCGTTTGTGTCAGTGAGTTGCATTATTTGTCTTGATGGCTTCCAAAATATTGGAACTTGGTCAGAATCAATGAAATAACAGACGTCTTACAGACACAGTTCAGACCTGCAGCATCGGCAAAGTCATAAAGTTCTGTTTTCCGCTGTCAACAGTCTTTTCCTGCTTACGAGGATACAACGTGATTTCTTTGACAATATCTGTCGATGCATGTGTGCAGGTACTGTGACAGATTACATGGTCTATGACCCAGGTAAAGAGGGGTGGAGCTTAATTGTTCTGAGTTAAAGAGTTTATTCTTCAGGTCTCTGTCCTCTGAGTAAAAAAAAAACACCCGTCATATAACCTATAACCGAGATAACTAATTTTTGGTACAAACATTTCCCCTCCATTGTGGTGGATAGTCTTCTCATATTCACCCAAGAAACAGAAAACCTACCTGGACTGTTCACACTCGGTGCTGTTTAAAGACTGGCTTGTGAACTTCTCGTCTTATTTTATGTTTTGATGTGAACATTCTAATTACCTGGAGGTCTTTGATGTTTGGGAAGGGAATTCCGATGGTGACCACTGCCCTGGCGTTGTCGTCTGTGAAGTCCAGTCCTTCGCTCACTTTACCCCTACACACAGCAATCAGCAACGCACCATCTATAACGAGGAACCACAGTAAATGACACCCAGCAGAACTCTGACTGTGTTGGCTTTGGTGCAGGTGTATTCAGAGATTATCAAAATGAACTTTTACAAACATCATGTGACTAAACAAGCGGTTTCAGGATGATATTGCAAAACCAGAATCATGACGTTTACCAGTTTGACCTCCTCCGTCACAGAACTTAATGGCATCGTAGTAGGTCTGAAGCAGTTCGTCAAAATCCTCCTTGCCACCACCGCGGGGCTCAGTGATCACAGTTTTCTGTTGTTCCATCTTCTCCCAGAGACCAGTGTTGGTCCACCGGTCCCGCAGCTTGTCCAACATCTGATCAAACCACAAGAGGTATCATGTTGTAAATATAGATGTCTGCATAGCTTTTTAAACTTTTGCTGAAAAGGTAGAAAATCTGAATGAGAAACAACCTGCAACGTTTATATATATAAGAAGAGCGTGTTCTCTACAACAGAAGGTTCTCATCGAGGCTTTATGTAAGGAACTGTCTCTGCATTAAAAATAATCTACAGCTATGCCTTTTAAGATTCTCCACCTGCAAACTGCTTTTGTGTGCAATATAGTAAATAACTGTTCCATGAGAACCTTCGATTGAAAAAGATTGAAAACAACTCACAGAAAAAGACATTCAGATATCATTAAACAGCAGAGCAGAGTCATCAATAGTTTTTAATGTCTTCTAACACCGTGCGTTTATCATCAAGGACGAGAATGAGTAAAATCACTGCAGTGTATGTGACTGTGCCATCACGTGCACAGAGCGCTCTGGAGATCACTTACAAATAAATGCAGGAAAACTATTCACTTCAAAATTCTGTTTCCAAATAATGTCCCAGATTGGGGGTTAGGATCCCACAGGTGCGTTAAGTAATCGGTCCGATCGCTCTGAATATATAAATACTAATAAATTGGGGAAATGAAATCATCATCAAAAAACATTCTTCGTGTCATCTTCTACGTCTTCACACACACACAACACTGAATGTACCTGCAGGCACTGTCACGCTTTCTGATACAGTTCAAGAATGAAAAATGCTCACAACCAAGAACAGGAAGCATTTAGCTGAGCATGTTTGCTGCTGTGTCCTCATACAGAATAGATCCCTCTTCTTTACTTACACTTAGAGAGCCGATGTGCTTAAACCCCCTCTGTAATAAAATCACTGTTGCTGTGCTATTGTTAGTACAAAAAGTCAGCAGCTCTCAGGGGAGGCACATTGATCTAAAAGCCCTCATTCTAACATGGCCCCACTCATGTTTGCGCTGTGCAGATTACATCCTCGAATAAGCACGGCCTCAGAATCAAAAAGCAGCTTCACTGGCTCGGAAATGTGTTAGAAGGGTCAAGTAGAAGTTCTTCTTGTAGTCAACAGAAAACTTCTCAACGGGCTAATAGTGTCAGGCTGTGAGGTCTGAGCCAGATGAGGCAACAAGATGGCAGGGCCTGTTTATGATATCTTGTCCCGACAATAAAACTTCTTTTTACCAGCTCCTTCTACCTGTTCCTCAAAGTACAGCTCAAAGTCAGACAGGAATTTATTCTGGAGTTATGTGCAGTTCAGAGGAAAACTACAAAGTCAGAGGCAGAATGACACCGTAAGAGAGCATTGATGGTTTGATACATGTAGGGCTGGATCACAATATTATTTTTCATATCAGTCGATATCAGTATATATCGTGATATAAATCAAATAACCAGAAAATAACTTTTTTGCACATTTGTGTTTATGTACAATCTTCTTATGTACAAACTTTTTTTCTTACGCACAAAACAGATTTAACTTGCTCGTACAATCATCTTGTGCCACTTTACTTATAACATTTCATACCAACCACTACAGGTTTGCCTTTTTACATTTCTTTATTCTCTTGTCTACCTCATTCTGACGTGCCTGCTGCTGTGACAACTGTCACTGGTGTGTGGATCAATAAAGTTTTATCTTGTCTTTAAAGTGTGGGTCTGCGTGTGTGTGATTTCCTGTCTGTGCATGTCATGTCTCGTGTTGTGTCGCAGGTTTAAACGTGTGTCTCATGAACTCTGGAGCGAATCACACAAAGGCAAAGTAAACATCAGTCCTGTACGTGTCCTAATAACTTGTGATCAGTGATGGTGTTTATTGTTAAAGTGTAAAGTAAGTAAAAAAAAGAAAATTAACAACATGTGCTCATGGTCCTCCTCCGCACTGTGCAGTGTAAGTCAATAATTATCGATATCGTATTATTGCCCAGCCCTAGTTTGATGCTAGTACATCAAAATGAAGCATGGGAAATGAGATTTAATCAGGTTGGTGCATCCTCAGGCAAGTGAGGCCAGGACGTCTGCATTAATAAAACACAGCACATTCACTAAATATGCAAGGACTCCCACTTTACGTGCGTCTTCAAATTCAGCAAACTGTTTGTCCTGCAATTGCTTTGCAGTGATGATGAGGAGGAAATGAATTACTCATGTTATGTACTTAAGGCAGATCTACCATTGAACAAAAGAGCCATTATCTGCAAGGCTGCACACAGAAAGGAGCTGATTCCAAACAGAGGTGATTTGACAGCGCGAGAAGGATCGTGTTAATACTTGACTGCATGAATTCTCATCATTAATAACAGAAACAGAGGAATCCAGTGCTTTACAGGTGTGGGTGCGGTCTGAAGCATAACTACTGAGGGCTCGTAAAAATGACTATCGAGTGCTCACGTCAGTGGAAAATATTTACGTGGTGTTTTTCTAGTATTGCAGTAGTAGTACACGGAGAATAAAAGCAAACACTGAATATAATATTTGTTAAAATGCAATAAATGGTGCTATGGCAAAGTGACAGCAAACGGTACTTTCAAGGATTCTGAAGGTGCACCAACTCTGACCATATTAAAAACCATCAACAAGGTCAGTGTCATGCGGAGGTGAGTAAAGCACAGTCTCGGAGTGAAAGCACTTAACTACGTCCTAAATTATGAATTCGTGTCAACATCAGCACTCATCTCATGTAGTTCACAGCAAAGCTTCGATTTGTAACTGCTGACATCGGTTTGGATGTATTATAAAATGGGTTGTTATTGTCCAAATGGAGTTACGTTAAAAGATTAACACTCGTACTTCACTCTCGTATTCATCAGTGCTTCCGGAGGTGAGGCATACTGAATGTCACGTCTGTGCTCTGAGACTGACTGCTCGACTGCTTGTGAACGTTTAGAGGATTTCCGCCGTGTTCCACAGAAGCACCGTGGCCTCGGATGCCCTGAGGAGAAAGCAGAGGACGCTGAACTTTCCACATCACACGATGGAACAGCGACTATGAGATGTTGTTCTGGTTTCTCAAGCAGCATCCTGCCATCTGTGTGGCCCTCTTATCTCCCGATGGACATTGTGACTTATAGAGTGTATTGCAATCGGCAAAACAAGTAAGATTTTATATTTGTGTGTCGTACAGATTCACTTTTAATAAAGAGGTTCTGATGTCTAACGTGTGAATTCATGACTTTTAACTGTGGGTGGTGAAACACTCTTTGAGCAGGACGATGAAGCCCTATCCTGCTCCTGGTGCTGCGTCCTCAGTGTTTCTCCACAAGGCATTTGATAAATTATTCAAAAGATGTTAATTATATTGTTCAAGGGAGAAGTCAGGTCATATTCAAATAAAGAGAAATTTGAGAATAATATAGTGAGGAAGAAGTCATAACTTTAAAAGACTGAGGTCATTATTTTAAAATCCAATTTCCCAAATTTTAGAGTGAACCAAATTCTTTTAGTCGGTCGCATCACATCAACTTTAACCAAACCCCAAAAAAATGTTTTCAGCTGGGTTATAAAATCTGCTTCATCTCCAGGTTCAACAATACAACTCTTATTTAGACAAAAAACTATATATATATATATATAAATATGTATAAATATGCAGGCAGCAGTTATTTAAGGCCAATCAACACCTCAAACAGGGATAGCAAATTGTTAGGAACTCCCTTAAATTACATTTCACAGCATTTTAGAAATGTGTATGTTTTGAAAAACAATTATACAAAAAGTAATTGCACATGTACAGGACAAAACTAAATGAGAAATCACACTTAATACACATAACAGTGTATCGCTGAAGCATAAGATATAATTCAAACTCGTCGCCAAAAAGAGAAATCACAAATAAAAGTGACTTTATTTGTTGTGAACCATTTTAGGCCTTTGACAAGATATCTTACGGAGGTAAAGTTACGAGGCAGCCTAACTGGGAATGAGCAGCATTTAGCACATATGAGGGCACAACAGAGAGTGAATAATTTATTGTCCTTTCTAGGCATGGTAGGTGCAATGCTCAGCCTCTGCTGGCAACACAGTAAAGTGGGCCAGATTTTTCTGCCAATTGGGACGGGGCGGTGAAACAACCAGATAGAAGCAGTGAACTGTAGTCTTTCTCGCACTTTTGTACTTCCCCTCCCTCCCTTACCCCCACCCCATCTACCCATCTTTCACCTCCTCGGCATCCAGCCCCTCTCTATCTCCTTCCCCGTGTCCCCGGTGTCAGTGAGCTGTGTGGCGACACATTGCGGCTCCTCTAGTGCCTGCTGAATTATGGAGGGGGTTTAGAGGCGACGGCATTAATGAAACATGCCGCTAGGAGCCACATTTCGCATTGGCGAGGGAAGACGTGTTGTTGCGGTATAAATTATTCAGTTCCAAAATATCACAGCAACCATCACGCCAAGGCTGGTGCCAAGAAGCCACCTGCCACCTCTGGCCTGCCACTCTGCCCTTGTCTTCTGCTCTACACATCCCAGCTGTGCTGGTGACGACAACGGAACACTGTAAAAACCCAGCCCGCTGCCCAGACATAAAGATGCTGATCTGACTGAGTTGACCTTCTTCTTAAGAGGGATTTAATTATTTTATTGAGTTGAAAATAAAGTGTGTGCTTTGAAACATCTTCATGTGCATTTTTGACTAGTTTTAACTTTATGAAATTATCACTTTTTTACTGAAATGATAAGAGAGAATAACAAAATAAAGCAGATTCAATAATTGTGTAAACTATATATCAACATTACAAATTCACTGGTTAAAGATTTTTTTTCTCTGTTTGGTAAAATCAAGTTTTGGATTTTAAATTATGACTGTTGCTCAGACAAAAACATCTTGGCATCAAACTGATGAACAATTTCACTGATCAGATCTTAAAGGTCCAGTGTGTAAGATTTAGGTGAAAGGGAACTTTAATGTAGAATAATCCTCATGATGTTTTCACGAGTTTGTTTCATCTAAATTGTATGAACTGTAGTTTTCTTTACCACAGAAAAGACCCTTTATATTCAAATACTTTATATTTTCATAGAGGGGACCCTCTCTACGAAGGCCGCCATGTTTTTTACATTAGTCCAGACTGGACAAACTAAACACCTTTTGAGTTTTATGACAATTAAAGCTACCACAGGTTCTTTTTCATGTTTGGAAGGAGAGGGTGGGGTGAGGGGTGTTCAGCTGCAACATGAAATATCAACGCTAAATATCACTAAATTCTACACACTGGACCTTTAAGTTTATATTTTCTGTTTAATTTGAAACTCACTGACACGAACAAAATGTTGTGCTTGAAAGACAAAAACTGCTCCACTTCACATGTGTTCTCTGTGTCTGAAAACATGAGCATTCCAACAAGCTGCAGCTTAGTCAGACAGCAGTAACCCTCAAGTTTCCACTGTAAAAACACAAATAAAACATCACCTCTGCTCTAAATGATCAAAAAAAAAACATTTAGGAGGTTAATGCCACACTGAGCAAATTGACCTATGAATCCGGTGCGCTCCCAGACACAGAGAACCGGTCTCACTCTCAGATAACTCGTGCTCATATTGCCCTGAGCTCCTGCGGACAGTGCGCGTTGGTGGGTGTTCACCCTGCAGTCTGCTCTGACTTTGATTTGACACGTGCTCAGCAGAGCCCAGGCGCCAGCAGCGGGTGCATCTTCACACAGACAGCGAGGCGACGTCACCTAATGGCCCTTATCTCAATCTCCTTTAAAAGTATCTTGTAGTGCCTGCCATCTTTGGCTGCCACTCCTGTAATAAACCATCAGTCCCCCTCTCCTGTGGAGCAGAGGTCTATTCCTCTGGCGGCTGGGACCAGACTGCAGGGCCCGCTGTGATTTTAATGGGCATTAACTGAAGGGATGTTGAGGTTAAAGTGCTACAAAACCACAGCACTGGTGCAGGAAAGTGTGTGTGTGTGCATGTGTGTGCATGTGTGTGTGACTTACAGACTTTGTGTGTCCATGTATCTTAAATAGAAACAGAGTTTGTGTTTTCTTTGAAATGATTTGACAGAAGGGCACAGAGGTCATTGCTGAGACACGACAACCACAGCAACATAGTAAAACAGATTCATTTCTCAACAAACCCCAAAATACACATGTATTACACATACAACACACATGTACTGCTAATTTCTATAACATGAAGATAATTAAGTTCAATGAAAACAGGGCCAGAGGATCCTGCTGTGTATTTATGTCCATGTGCGTGAGCTAAGGCTGCTTCCTCGGTTCGTCACAAAACCAGCTGTGTATGAGGAGCTGACAGCCATCATCTCCACACATTGAACGAGGATGACCAGACATGACCTATTCTCTCTATGTATCCTGCACACACACGCACACACACACAGATTACAGAGCAGACGGGACTCGGCGGCACCAGGAAGGCCTCCACGGGCTCCAATTAATACCCCAGCCCTTCATTTCCCCTCATCTCCTCATCTTCAGGAGTTGACTGCAGATTAAATATTCATGCATCAGCACTGAGAGAGATAGAAGACTCCTACACGGCTATCAATAATAAAAAAACATCCCACAGCCCATAGCTGCTCGGCTGACATCAGAGGCTGACAAAAAGGAAGGTAAAATGAGAAAAGAACAAGGCCCAGAGTGTTAGCTTTCCCTCACAGTTTGGATGGCAGGGTCATCAGCTGTTTGAGAAGGCAACTGGATAGCAAGCAACCGATGACTGCAGGGAAATCAAACCAGCGACGCGTTGAAATACAAGTCAAACAGACACAATGCAAATATGCCAAAGGCAAAAACTAAATAAGCCAAGGGCAAAACACAACTGTGAAGGTTCCGCTGTTTGATGGAAAACGACGTGTCCACTTAACGTGACACTGACTCGTCACAGAGAGACAGTGTGTAAGTGATGCCGGCTTCCATGATATGAGTGTAGAGCATAAGCAAAATGCCATTTTATAACCATGAGCCTCAAAACTTCTTAGCCTTTGTCACGGAAGATACGTTTTTCACTGCTGTAACTTTTGTGAAAAATTCAAATTGAGGATTTAAAATGATAAACAATAAAATGATGATATATTTAACATTACTGCTCATGACTCAAGGCAGCAAGCACAAGAGAACTCTTTACCCTGAAAGTGATGGTCTTAAACAAAATAGATTAAATGTTTATGCTTTTATGTGGTTTTCAGTCTAGAGATGATTAAGAATAAACAACATGTGCTTCACATTTACTTTTTCAGACATTCTCTAATTCTTCCTTTGTCACTAAAATCTGCTGAGAAGTTTAAAAACTTCAAAAAGGGGCGAAAAGATATTTTCTAGGTTAAACTGGACATTATCCATGCACACTGCCCCCAGAAGACTCATGTGTTTATTTCATAATGACTTTTTTAACTCACTTGTGTTTAATTAATTAATTGACTAAAACTGCTAACTGACCAAAGTCACGTGTAACGTGGACAAACATACAATAATAAAGGAAATCCACTTGCCCCTTTGTAAGCTAATGTGACAAGTGAGCTGTAGTGTACATTAATCATTCATGAACGAAAACGCATAACAAACAAAGGGGGACAAAGTGTCTACGAGTGCGCTCTCAGAAGCGTCCTCATTAACTGAAAGAGGATACAGTTCTGTGAGGATGACGGCATTTACCAAGAACCTGACAAGTGCCTCTATTGATGAGTGCTGATCTATTGTTACATGCAGTCTGCCTGAGCAGAGGGATCTGTCGGAATCCAGTAGAGCCTTTATAAACTTGTTTTGTGTGCCATTAGTCAACACAAACACTGAACGCACTGGATGTGACTCCAATTCGTGGTCTCTAGCTCCTCCCACTGGTAAAATGTGGTAAAAGGAAGTGTCCACCACCACTTCAATAAAATGGATGAATTCTTTTTAATATCATGAATATAAGCCTGATAACATAAAGTCTGAGATGCATGTGTCAAGCTGATTTGTAGAGGACGACTAAATGTTTAGACTAAACGCAGATAACAAACAAATGAGAGTCCAACATCATCTTTTTCTACCAAGTGACCATCAAAAGCTGTCCTGATATTTCTTCACATGATCCAAATGTGTTGAACAATTATTTTGAAGGGCTGTTGTTTTAACTGTTAGGACCAAGATGTGAGTCCAAACTGAAACGTGTACACCTCTACGGTTCTGTAGCTTAACACTGTGATTCTGAAAGTACCACAACATGTATGTGCATTAACATATGATTAATTATCTAACACGGCCAACGTGACCAGACTGACGTATTTCAGTGTGTGTGTGGTTTATTTACCTTGTAAGAAGGCAGGAAGCAGAGCACACCCTTGGCCATGACCTGGCACACATGGAGCAGCAGGGCCCCCACCTCGTCCTGGAACGAATATGTTTCAGTGTGTTGGAAGGTGGCACAGAGTTTTCTGCCTTGGGGTCCTGCACCAACAGTGCCCACCCAAACCTAAAGAGAGGACAGTAGAAATCTAAGGTTGATGTCACCAGTAAAACTCATACAGTAAATATATCTGGGCATGATCGAGACTCTGGTGATCTGGAATCAAACCCACCTGTTACCAAGTGTGACGTATCTTTAACATTAGTCAGCTCTGGTGATTCAAATGTGGGGATGATTGCAAAAACACCTTTATTTTCTTCTGTCAAATGAAAAGTGTCTGAACAGACAGTGAAGCCCCTGAACGACGGCCTTCCGATGAGGTAAATAGCTATCAGGCAGTCAGACTGTGACATCTGCTGGACAGAAGCAGAACTGTGACAGATGTGGAGCCAATGCAAGCTCAAAGTTTCAGATTGTTTATGAAAATTTTTGTTGATCGGAGACTCTAAGTTAACTGTAGGTGAATGTGAGAGTTAAAGATTATTTGTCTGTTCCCTGCATCTTGTCAAACGTCAGCTGGGATTAGCTCCAGCCCCTGTTCATAGATGATAAACCCTCTGATTCAGAAACAAGACTTTTTGAAAGACCTGGACCACAGGTCGACTAACAATGAGAGCTGAAGGAATCTAATGACTCCTGAGCCTCTGATCTTGAGTCATAATTAGGAGTCACAGTTTAGGAATCAAGCGCTCCAACAGTATGACACAACAGTTTTCTTGTAAACCTACTCAACAAATGTGTCTGAAGTGTTTTCACTGAGGCTCAATGACAAAGGCGACTAACCTGGGACTTGTTGATAACATGATTGGCTTCCAGCTGGATGGAGAATTTCACCCCAAGTTCAGAGGAGAAGGAGCTCATGGGCGACAGGGTTCCTGATGTCAGCACAATGCAGTGCACCGACCCACTCAAGTCAGAGAAAGCCTTGGAGGGACAGACACAGACGCAATCAAGTAGTAGTTGAAGAAGCAGGAAAAATGTTAAGTATTCATTGACATTCATATTTTACAATTAAAAGATCAGTGTGGCCTAACTGGCGAGGTCTGCCACATCAAACCTCTCACCACAGCTGGGTTGAGGCACCAGAAGCTGAGTGTCAACACTTCCTTCTTGACACGGACACTCTGGCGTTGTCTGTAGCGTGGTCGTACAAAAAAACCCTGGGCATCAGGAACATCGGCCGGAACCTGATTGGTCCAAGAGTAGCTCCTCTGCAGGGCTACCCGGTAGTCTTCAGCAAACCTACAGAAACAAAGAGAACAACAAGGCAACCCGTCCGTCGTATTAGCGTCTGAGCTGGCAGGATTCAGGATTTCTGGAGGTTGACGTCTTTGGGTTGTCTCTGACCTGCAGTTGTCCCTAAACATGAAATCCAGGACCATGAAGAGGTTTTTGAGGACAGCGGAGGAAGCTGAGCTGATGATTGGGATTGGCACCGTGTCCTCTTTACCATTCACGAAACCAATAATCTCCTCCTTCTCCAGCACGGCTGCCAGGTTTGTCTGTCACATGGAAAGACGGTGGACACATGAAAACAAAACGGTGGACACATGAAAACAAAACCAGGGTTTTTCCAGGCGATGATAAAGATTCTGTAGATCTGTGATCTTGGATCTTTGTTCTGAACTGAGTCCAGTATAAGATCAACCAACGGAACCGAACTACTTAATGGTGAATAACAGACTCATGATTGTGTCTAAGAGTGTAGTCTACAAGATATTTGGGGTACCTTCAGAAGAGCAAAGGTCCCTGCAGTGATACCCAGCGTGTCAAAGATGTCCAGTACATTCTTCCCACTCCAGACTTTACTTGCAGTCTCATATCCTCTTTCACTCATCAGGCTTTGACTCTCCTGGATCCAGCTACAAAAAAAAACACCTGAGTCAATTCCTCCTCAAATTATGAAAGATTAATATATAAACAACTGAGCTACTGAATATGATGATGGATACTGACTTGGATAGAGTGAAGCAGAAGTCTCTGAGGGGTTCGTGTTTGGAGGATCTGATTTTGTTTTTGACCATGCTGTCCAGCTCATCCCTGGACGTCAGCAGACTGTTGAGGTCTAACGTGAAGCTGGCACTCTCCCTTGCACAGTCTTCAATGTTGTGGGCTTCATCCAGCACCAAGATCTGGCCTGCCAGGTCGATCTCCATCTGGTGCAGGAGGACAGTGAAAGGAGCGAGAAAGTAGAGGGGAGGAGGAGGAGGAGCGGTTAATACCTACATGAGATATTTTCTGTGATCTGTTCCTCTCACTCCTTGTGTTCTGATTGTTGTTCACTAAAATCTACTCACACTCTCTCTGATCATTGGGTCCAGCAGGTAGTTATATGGGCAGAAGATGATGGAGGCACCCTGCCTGAGTTCACGGGCAGCATAGTAAGAGCATGAGCGGAGCCGTTTGCCCAGTGCCACCAGGTCCTCGATGTCCCAGGCTTCATGCAGCCCGTGGACATGTTGCAGAGTGTACTGGTCCCGCATCCTCTGGACACCATGGTAATAGCTGCACGACTTACCCTGTAATAAACAAATGTATAGAGACAAGATAACATTAGCCCAGGGTCTAATGATAAACCAATCATTTTAATAACTCATTTTATTTGTACACCACAATTGGAACCAGTGTCACAATGTGCTTCACAGATTCCTACATCAGGCTTAAACATAACCAAATGTGAAAAAGCAAAGGAGTACGTTCTGAAAACACTGGTTTCCCCATTGAGCAGAGATGACACAGAGAACTTTAAAGACTGCATGAGATCATGTGTTTCATCTATTGTAGTGGTTTACATGTCCTGACACTCAAACAGGGAGGGAAGATGTGTAAAGAAGCAGCATCTCATGTACTAAGCCCCAATTACTCTGTCAGCAGAGGAACCTGCTTTAGATGTCCCACCCTGTTCTTTATGGACCCAACAGCTTGAGGTGACACTGTCACACAAATACTGTACACCAGTGGATTTAATAACTTCCTCACATAGTGATAATCTCTGAACGGGATGATCCACTCCTCACAATGATGCATGACACTGAACACATTGTCGGGAGAGTTAGGAGAATTGATGGCCAGCGCAGCCACATTACAATTTACAGCACAGTTAAAATGGACAGCAGGTGTTTTGACTGAGGACGCCATTATACTATCAATCTGTGCTTTTGTGCATGAAATCGCTTTGTGTCTGTACAGCATGGTAACCTCACACTGACTCGACCAGACCCTGAGGTGATGGAGACAAAGGGCGTCAAAGACATCCACTCCAGAGAGGAGTTATAACTCAACCAGCTACTTCATATGACAAAGTTAGACAATTGCCATGGAGGCAAACACCTCCAATGACAGCTTAATTATCCTCATTACAGTAGGCGCCTCAACCTCAGGACAGTGTCAGGGGTTACAAGTGTCTCATGTTGCCGGCTCAATGGTTCCTGACATTTCAGTGTGTTAAAAAGACCCTGCCTGACCAGTTGTGGATATTGTAGAAGCATAATTGTTGCTCTGAGGCTGCATCATTGAAGGAGGATTTATCTGGTGGTGCTGTAGTCACCTTCGGATCTGTGTTACTGTCTAAAAAAGGTCAAAGGATGTGTCATGAGGTGCTGGTTTTCACAGCTGGAGAGGGTTCAACCTTGGTTCACAAAGAGTTCACTTCAGATGTGGGGTGGAACTGAGCTGAGCTATGAACTATATCATTCACGGGTCATTCACAGGAAGAAAGTCTCACGTCAACTGTGGAGTGTGAGCTGGAGTTTTGTGGCAGATGGATAACATAATTGACATTTGAGAATTTAAAAAATTAAAGAAATAATTCCCTAAAATTGGTTCTTACAAGAAATGTGGCCAAGCAATGTAGACAACAGGACATTTTACAGTCAGAGTAGAACGACCACACTGCGGTTGTATACTTTTACTTTATTCCAGATTTATATAACTTTCAATGTCACCTTTACCCTTGACAACTGAAACATAATCACTTTATCTCTGACTCCAAGTGACGACTGATCAAAAGTTGAAGGAATGTCCTCAAGCAGTCTGGAGATATAACATTTAAGTGACGACTGAAATCGAATCAATTTATCAGTGAAACCAAAGTGATTTGTGCCGGATGGCATGAAATTCCCCACGGGCAGTCCTGTGTGTCACATTCACAGTTACATGAGGTCACTAAAACCTTGACCTTTGACCTCTAGGCACTAAAATTTAATCTTAAGTTTATCTTTGAGTACAAGTGAAAGTTTCCACCAAAATTGAAGACATGTGAACCTTGACTCTGTCATGAACAACTGCATTCTACATGTGAACACTAAAGGAATGGCTAGCTCTGTGTGTGTGTGTGTGTGTGTGTGTGTGTGTG